GTGATAATATTTAAATTTATGTCAGCACACAATGCATAACAAAGTATATCACTACTAATCAAAATTGTCAAATCAGTGTTGCTAGAATTCTTTATAGGCTTGAGATTTCCACATCTGTTTCAGTAGGTGATTCATATAAAGATTATAAGAATAAAACTTCAAATTTGTAACAAAATGCAAAATGACAAATACTTCATTGTTCACCTCGAAAAGTTCAGACAAATTATGATTATTGTTTATCTAAGCCAATAGTTGGAAAATTACTTAAATTAATGTAATTTTTGACTCTGTTTATTACAAATCAAATGCATATAAATGTGATCTGATTAGTTCTTTAAATAATTCCTTCATAATCATCTTCATATATTAAATTAAAATATCAATGGTGTGTGGATGTTAAAAAACCAGTTTGGTCCATTGCTAAGTGGTAAGTCTCACTAGCTAATCAGTAAGTAGTTTATAGGACACTTTCGCATGTTACTTTCTATGCATTAAGATCTATGTCAATACTCGTCTTCTCTCTGTTTGGTGAACATTTAGCCACTTAAATTGATTTCTATCACCAATCTGCTTACATTATGACAATCATAAGAAAACAAGTATTGTAATAAGGTACATTAAGATTTTCAATTGCATTGTATATATTAGCTTGTGTGACTCTCAAATTGGGGATGTGAACCATTGGTGTTTAAGAAACAATAATAATGAGGTAACTGACATGTCTTAATGTTATGAAAAAAGTTATTGATTTTCTAAATGTTTACAAAAAAAGTTACATACCTTTAAATAAATGTTATTTATTTTATAAACATTGCTGTAGGTTTATAAACATTTAAATGTTGTGGGAAAGTTAAGTAAAAACTTAAATGTGGTATTACAAAATATTACACAAAGTATGAAATTGGAAATAAGTATTACATATTTATGACATTGTAATTTTAAACACTACCCACATCCTTCACAACAAATTAATAAAGAACTATTCAATGCAATCTTCAAAGAAAATTATTAAACCTAAAAATATTTACAGACAACCTTGTACTACAACTGTTTCACAGAAATAACTTTTATTACAACATTGTTTATGGCTCCCACATGCTCTCAGCATGCAAATCAATTACTTTTACCGACTATTAATTTCACACATTTTAAACTATTGCAACATAAAATAATTTTTTCACATATTTTATCTTAACTTTATATCTCTTTCTATTATTTTATTTATTTTAATTTTTTTTTTTTTATTTTCTGATGAATGTCTGTTAGCCCTTGAGGTAAATGCGTTGCAAGCACACTGGAGTAAATAGTATGATCAAAAAAATTCAATTCCAATATAGGCAGGTTTCGCCAATTTATTTATATCTGGCTTATTTTATATAAAAAATACCAACATCTTTAAAGATTAGGCCATTTGAAAGAAACATAAGTTTTAATTAATATTAGGTCCTTACATATGAAATTGGCGTATTTCGTACTCGCCACTTTAATCACGATGTTCTCCTCTTTGGTAAGGAATACCAAATTCAAATTTGTACAGCTATTTACTCATGTATTTGTGCTTCGATGACCGTCATTCATTTGTTTTTTTCTGTTTGCGTCACTCATATTACAAAATGGAAAACTTAAAGTATCGCATTATTTACAAGCACGAGTTCCGCCGTGGCACTAGTGCTGCGGAAACGACTCGAAGGGTGAATGATGTGTATGGCGGTCATGTTGCAAAAGAAAACACAGTTCGTTTTTGGTTTCAACGTTTTCGTTCTGGAAATTTCGACCTGCAGAACAAGCCCCGTGGACGGCCTGAGACCAAGTTGATAAAGAAGTATTGAAGGCTATTGTGGAAGCGGATCCATCGCAAACCACGTCCGAGTTAGCTGCAGGCTGCGGTGTTAGTGATAAAACTGTTTTAATTCACTTGAAGCAAATTGGGAAGATTAAAAAGCTTGAAAGATGGGTACCTCACGAATTGACTGAAGCAAACCGGCAAACGCGCGTCGACTGCTGCCTTACATTACTGAACCGGCACAATAATGAAGGTATTTTAAACCGAATCCAGTTACCTGTGATGAAAAATGGATTCTTTACGATAATCGGAAGTGCTCAGCGCAATGGTTGGATCCTGGCCAGCCAGCCAAATCCTGCCCCAAGCGAAAATTAACCCCAAAAAAGTTACTTGTAAGCGTTTGGTGGACTAGTGCCGGTATTGTTCATTGCAGTTTTCTCAAATCTGGCCAGACTATTACGGCTGATGTCTTTTGTCAGCAATTGCAAACCATGATGGAAAAGCTAGCGGCTAAACAACCTAGGCTGGTCAATCGTTCCACGCCACTGCTACTTCACGACAACGCTAGACCACACACTGCACAACAGACGGCTACCAAATTAGAAGAGCTTCAATTGGAATGTCTAAGACATCCTCAGAACTCCCCGGACCTTGCTCCAACAGATTACCATTTTTTTCGAAATTTGGACAACTTCTTGCAAGGGAAAAAATTTAACTCTGATGGGGCAGTCCAAATCGCCTTCACAGATTTTATTGATTCCCGTCCGACTGGTTTTTTTACTAAAGGGATCAATGAACTACCTATGAGATGGCAAAAGTAATATATAAATAACAGCATAAAAAACAATGGTTCATTCTTTGACTAATTTAATATATTATATTTAAAAATATTCAACTTTTTGTTGCTCCCATACAAAACGCCAATTTCATATGTAAGGACCTAATATTTTGAAGGTGCCTAGTTCATTTTGAATTAAATCATATAGTAGACATACCAGAAACATTTCTATTTTTTATTACACTGTGCTCCATGTAACAAGACAAAGTAATTAACAGAATATAATAAGCGTTTAGACTGTTCAAATGATAACTGTAAAGGTATAATAATATATCAGATATAACACTTATTTAGAAAACCTATTTAATCATTCTACTAAAAATCTATACCCTTAAGTTAAAATAATCATATAACATTATTATCAATAAACATTTTTTTTTATGTATATTTATAACATTAATATCAAAAGTACTATAATATTGTCCCAACATTGAAATGCAAACCTTGAAAACATGTGTATGAGTCATTAATATTAGTTTACTCCAATCATGCAAAAAATGAGATTTTATTTTATTCTTTTGAAAAATCAATCTCAATAAATAATATCTGAAACTTGGCCACAACTGGGCCCAACACCACCCCACAAACTACAATTAGGTACCTAATGTGTATCTAAATGTTAATATATTGCATGTTGATATTTGCCAAACAAATCCAAATCATTAAGTACAGAACATATATCTTACAAAAGAAGGTTTATAATTTGACAAATATTGTGATAATGTGTGAAGTTAGCATCTGTAAGGAGAATTATACCAAATAAATTTTACAGAATTTTTATAAATTATGACAATCAGCCGTCTGTTATCTATATGATAAGATGCATTTGATATGCATTGAACGATAACAACTTATTTAATATTTTCAACTACGTGATCTATTGAAAATCTTAAAATATTAAAAACAATGTAAATAAAATTTAAAACATCATGCATTATGCAATAATCAAAAATAAATAACATCATAATATGGAGAAAAACAGAAACGTCCGAACGTGTTATCGTGAACAATTCCTTTAAACGTCGCTGCACACGGCGGATTTGAATAAACATGACGTCAGTTACAATAATCAAGCTTTTTATAACAAAGCAGATTAGTAATTTAGTTATACGTACCCATCACCAACTACAACACACTTGATCGCCTGCATCTCTGTTTAAAAATCCGTTGTACTAATAAAACAACACGATATCAATCACACACCGTACGCTTCAGGACAATCTTCAATTCGTTAACACTACACTATTGCTTTTAGTTGCTATTAACACATGACACGTAACGTCAAAACACGGTTAATGAAGTAAAATACTTAGAGAAAAATTTATCTACCATATTCCTATTTTACAAAATGAAAGACTCAGTGAGTCACACTAGCCAGCAACAGATTTACCGATTCGATGGCGAACGGCTGGACGATTACGCGATGACCATTTTGATTTTTGACATGATTTTGACAGTTTTCTTCAATTCCATTGACTAAACAGAGTTGCCAACACAAAATACGTTATAGAATCTTGTCTATTACTTTTACGTTTTTGTTATTATAATATGTATTATTAATTTGTTTTTAAAAAATATTTTTATTTGATTCTTAATACTTACTTTTGCTTCAAAAGTTATATTCTTACATTTTTTCAACAATAACGCAGGTTATACCTTACAAATAGTCAACACACAAACAACATACAATATGTTTATTCTGTAAAATTTTGCCAATGTAAATTTTAGAGGATTTTTAACAAATAATTTTTCCTAAAATATGTGGTGTTATATTTTAAGAGACTTTTGGAGCTTTTATAAAAATCAATTCAAATAATGACAACTCAACTTAGAGAATTATATTTACTATATTCCCTCACATTACTCAAGAAATGATTTTTTAACGTAATAACTCTCCCATTCTTAGGGTAAGATAAACACGAGCGAGCTTTAGTAATTGCTCGTAATTTATATAGGATTTTAACTCTAGGTACATATATCGTTTCAAGTCATAGTTCGCGATAAGTATTTTTCCAAAAGTCAGACCTAAGTACAAATAGTCAAACTTTGGTATGACGCTGGATACCAAACTCCAATGGAAGGTCCATGTTTGATGATAAAAATAATCACGAAGAGTTGGATATATAAGAGATATCTTCCGTTATAAGGACAAATACATTATTAATAATATATAAACAAGTCCTGATAGTCTAGTGATAGTCAAAAAAATTTTAAAGCAGGTTTTACTTTTTAAAGCGTTGGCCTTTAAATATGAAGTAAACATTTTATAAGTTGGTAACACAGACAAAGCCAAAGCCAATTGGCATGGCCGATGGCGGCTTTAGTGAAAATTGCGCGATATTGCGTGATTGTTTTTAGTTTTGTTTTGTACGTCCAATGATGGCGAAAGGTGATAAGGATTTAGAAAAACCAATTGTGAAGAACGAATTAACTACTCCAGAATCTCGAAGTACTGACAATGAAGATTCTGAATCTAACCAAGAGCAACTTTTAGATATCGGCGAGCATTATCTAGTGAGGCGTGTCGATGACTCATGGCGGCCGGCTGAAATTATACAGACGCGGTACCATGCGTCAGAGTCCTGCTATGAATATTACGTACATTATGTGGGCTGTGATCGAAGGCTTGATGAATGGGTTCCCCGCCACCGAATTATGTCCGATAGATTCGACGGTTGTGAGCAGTCCAGTAACAATTCTGATCATTTGTTGACGGACAAGTCCGGTCGTAAAATAACTCGCAATCAGAAACGTAAACACGATGAGATCAATCATGTCCAAAAAACATATGCCGAGATGGATCCTACCACCGCAGCGCTCGAGAAAGAACATGAAGCTATAACAAAAGTAAAATACATTGATAGGATTCAGTTTGGCAAATACGAAATAGATACATGGTACTTCAGCCCTTACCCTGAAGAATATGGTAAACAATCAAAATTGTTTATATGTGAATATTGTTTAAAATACATGAGGCTGGAGAAAACATTCAGGTTTCATCTTGCTGACTGTCCTCAACGGCAACCACAAGGGACAGAAATATATCGTAAAGGGACTATAGCCATATTTGAGGCTGATGGCAAAGAACATAAGCTATACTGTCAAAATTTATGTTTACTAGCAAAATTATTCTTAGACCACAAAACACTGTACTTTGATATAGAACAGTTTCTTTTTTATACATTATGTGAAGTTGACAAGGATGGTGCTCACTTGGTTGGCTATTTTTCTAAAGAGAAGGACTCTCCAGAAGGAAACAATGTTGCCTGTATCCTAACACTTCCTCCCTTTCAAAGACAAGGCTATGGCAAGCTGCTCATTGCTTTCAGTTATGAGTTATCTAGACTAGAAAAGGTAGTTGGTAGTCCTGAAAAACCTCTATCTGACTTAGGTAAGCTAAGTTACAGATCATATTGGTCATATGTTATTTTAGAAGTATTAAGTGTAACTAGAGGTATTTTAAGTATAAAAGATCTTAGTCTTATGACAGGGATTGCTCCAACTGATATAATATCTACACTGCAATCAATGAATATGGTTAAATATTGGAAAGGACAACATGTAGTGTGTGTCACACCTAAAATGGTTTCAGAGCAGTTGGCTAGTTCTCATTTCAAGAAGCCTCGCTTAACAATAGACCCAACTGCAATTAGGTGGACTCCACCTATTAAACAAGGCCCTTCTGCTAAAGTAAAGAAATAAATATAATGAGTTTTGCATTTTTAGTACAAAACATTAGTCTATTGTGGAAAATAAAATTTTCTGCTATTTGATTAATATGGCAACCTAAAACAATAATTCCCACACTCATTTCATTGTAGCATTATTGCAAAATATGTATTGGCATTTCTGTTTTATAAGATTTAATTATGGATTAATAATATATGTATAAGTTATAATACCTAAGAGAAGAAAAGTATGTTCAAGCAATATCTGTTTAAAAAATAGTTTGCCTTATGTTTGTACAATTCTTTTTATTGTCAGTGAAATGCTATGAACAATTTAGTTAACTGCAAGTTGTAGTATATTTTTATAAGTTATAAAAATTTGTCACAAGTGGGTAATCAGTTCCACCATTGTCATACAGTCAAGGAATAACTAATTGTTTAAAAGTAATTAAAGACCTACTGTATTTTAGTGGTGAAATAGGTAGGTCCTAAGTGTCAGATTATTTATGAAGATCTTTTTATTTTGTTAGATTCTGTGAATCATTTGTTTCATTGTGATAATTCTAGTTGTAAGTTAAAGTGGCAAAACAAGAATAAATTGTAACAAAATATTATTTCTTTCACTTAGCTCCCAAAAATGAAATACATATATCTCAATATTAATAATATTTAAAAAAATATTAATATAGAAAAAGCATTCACTATTTGAGAATTCTAGTATGATCATGAAAAAGAACATGCTCATTAATTTTTGTAGAGATGTTAAACATAATACATCAAACAACATGGTGTACCTTATTGTACACAAACAAAATACCAGTGGATAAATTAGAGGTATTTTAATTTGGGCTAACCCAAAAAAAAAGCTTTTAAGATTGCAGTTTTTGTTAATAAAAAAAACAACAATTTTCACAATACCTATATTCTTCAATTAACATTTACAACAGATACACAATAAGGCTTAAACATAGAAACATAATTTTCACCATCAAAATTGTGATAAATTTTATTGTGCGTTACACAAAAATTATGCCAATAGCAGCAAGATCAGCTGTGAAAAGTAGAAATTATATTTCTAAGTTTACAATCTAATAAAAATAATTTCTTTAGCTATCTTCCCCTTACTGTAGTAGGTTTTGGAAAATTTGATACTCGCAACAAAACTGTCAAAAGAGGTTTGTTTTTACTAACTTAAACCTGTTTGTATGAAAATGACACAAGCTCAGTTGCTACTTGCTAGTCATTTTTTGTTACAAACACTGAATAGCCTTCACGTAAATTAAGTACAATCAGTGGTAAATATTTTTTTCAGTGAAAATTTTTTTTAGACTTGAGAGAAGTTTTTACATTTTAAATTATACAATTGGAGTCTAAATAATAAGGATATCATAATTTTTAATTATTTATGAATTTGTGAAATAATATCCAACTCTCTTAGTTAAAATCAAATACCTAATATATTATCTAATCTAACAATATCTAAAGCACAGATCTGTAAAATAAACAATACAAAGGCGACAAGCACAATTTCTATTTTAATAATACTGAATAAATAGCTATCTATCTATGCAACATCTTACATATTTTTCTATTAACAAGTCTCAGAAGCTTTATTAAAGATATTTTTTCTCGTGGTAACATTTCGAAAATACAATTTAATATACTGCCATTTAGTGAATATTATTTTATACATTTAACACAAAACATGATCAAATGGATAAGCCTTTTAATATATTTTACTTTACTAAAAAACTAATAACTGTGCAAGCTATGGAAGTGAAAAACTCTATAAACATTTATACACTTTCAACATACAAACAATATACATATTAAGATAAAACCAGAATAAAAATATCTGGTTGTACACGAAATGTTTCTACTAGAACGCTAAAACATCAAGCCTTACACATATAGGCCAGTATTTACTGTCCTTATATTAAGATGGCAACATTATTTCTCTTTGAATGATTCAAAACAGCTTTGTACCTTACTTAGACCACACTTATAGTTCTACTTACATGATACAATATTGCATTAATTTAGTACAATACTAACATTTACTTATTTTATCATAGATATTAAAACTTCAGTTTAATAGTATAGATAGGTGTCAATAGCCCATACAATTGGACATTGATTTATGTTTGATAGAGACAAAAGGATTATTGTATGTGTATATAATATGTATAACTGTTTACAAGGTGATATTTTCATGCTCTTTTATTCATAAAAAAACGAATTTAATTTATTAAACTTTAAACTAGTGCACCAACCTTTCTCTTATCATCACTGCATAACAAATTGATAGATAGAGTACATTAGTTCAGCGCAACAAGACTGCTTTAGTTATATTATCTTTAAAATAAAAGTACATAGACTAGAGATTAATACTTCGCGTCCATTAATTTAAATTTGACTTCTAGCATATTTGGTATTAGAATAAAGCAAACCACTCAGAACTAAGATCCTGATATTTAGATAAAAACGATTTTTTCTATTTATAGGATCTTACAACAGTTGCAACGATGGCACTACATTGAATAAACTTTTTATTTACATATAGATCTTATAGTACAACGGTGTAAAGGGAATATTGTCAAATATACATATACCTAATAGGTACAAAAATCAATAAGTTAATAAAATTCTTTTAATATATGATAAAAAAATCAATACCTAAGTGTTAAAAAATAAACATTTTTGCCAGTTACAAAACTTTCATTTGAATCTTGAATTTTCTTGTCACTTTTAAAGCTGTCAATGTGACGTTTTACATTTGTAAGGTTAAATTCAATATGTTGATTGTGTTATACTCGCAATAATTAAAAGATAAATATTTTTAAAAATTCGTAAAACATACTCTGGTATGAAATAAATCTATAATTAAACTAAGTATTGCATAATAAATATCATCAAACTTAATAAAAAAATAAAGATTTTAGTTTGACTATATCTTTTGAGATCTTTTTACTGTCTCCGAGCAAAACAAACAGATTCGAAGGATCTTAGTAGGTTGGGGCTGTGTACTCGACGTTACCTGAAAACAGTAATAGTATGTAGTTCATCAACATTATCCCTGCATTTTGATGTTCTACCCTCACAACTAGTATGGGACATTTAAAAAAGAACATACTCCTTTCTGAAAGACAACATAATTAATTGCATGAACATGGACTGCGTTAGTTGTCTTTTATGTCCGACCCGGAGGCTCGTTTCCCCCGACCTCCTGTTTTATTAAAAATATAACTAGTAACTAATTGGCATTACCAAATGTCGGGGACAGTGGGCGGATTTTTCCTGAAACTTGATCAAAATGGTTATGAGTTTTCGCATTTCGATTGCGATGCGTCAAGTAAGTTAAATGTATTGTGAGAAACCTACACGGTGGAATATTATATTAACTTAGAACCACTGTTGTTTGTTGTGACATTTTGGGTTAGGAAACATGTCGAAAGTACCAGTTAGCTCTTGTACTTGGCCGTGTATCTTTCGTTTTTAAGAAATTCGAAAATATGCAAATCACAAACCTAACTACTAAAAACATTTGTTAAGCCCATATTTGTTTTTCGGTTTAATCCAGGAATAAGTTGTTTGGGTACTGTACTTGGGATACAAGAAGTAATTAATATTTTTATTGAAATTAAAGGTAATGGAAAATAAGATTGTTACATATTTATAACTTTATTTTTTTCATATAACCTCATGTTATATTCTTTAAGATAAAAGATGATGTAACACCCGCTAAAACGTTACTTACCAGACTGTTGCTGCGAGAATGGGGGGTCACTATATGGGGGCTGGGGGTCAGGCGCGCCCGGGTAAGCAGGGAATCCTCCCGGGCTACCCACAGTGCCTTCTACCTCGTAGGCCGGAGCAAACGCCGCTTCAGCACCCATTCGGAACCGTTGGAACGCGAAGAAAGCACATGCCACCTGAAATTTTTGATTATTAGAAACTATCCATTCGTATCGTCAATAAATGTCGTGTTACAGATTAGGTGAACTTAAGTTATGATTTTACGAAAGTAGTACAATGAAAACCAAATAAATATTAAGTTCGTTACCTTAATATATTTTTCTTACACAAAATAAATTTCTGAACGGACGCATAAATATTTGACAACCAATATAAATGTCCATCCTTCCACATGACAGACATTGTTCTACATTTTAAAAATCTAAAATACGCAACTATTCGAATATTGTGGATATATCTTATCGATTCGAAATATTTATTAAAATACGTTTTTTTCAATTTGAGAGGAGAGTTTGCCGTATGCCGGGATGAACATTTAATGTATGACATTTACGAAACCCATGATTCATGAACATGTATTGTATTTTTTTTCTGTTAATCTGCTATTCCGGACGTAGACAAATACAACAAATCAAAAACCATGATAAGCCGTTCTTGAGTGGTCAATAAAACCCATGTTTTATATATTAGGATATCGATCATGGAGCGGAGTGAAAAATTTACCCTTGACTTTCTAATGAAAGGGCCAATGACGTTTATTTAACAATTATCATTATATAGAACAGACACCTAGCAGGTAAAAAATGTTGAACTATATTTATACATTGTTATACATTACGATAATAGTCAACAAACAAGTAAACAAAAAGTACTTAAGTATATTCCGAACAAAAAATATAATTTCAAATACGTTTAACCACAACTAAAATGGCTGATAATGACTATTACTTTCAATACGTGTATGACATATCTTAAGTTGTAATTTGATTTGTACAAAAAAATCCTACCCAAGCAAAAATGGAGAAGAAACAGAAAGCTATAGCGCCTTGCATGTTGTTAGCGGTGCCCATGGGCGGGAATTCCGTCTTGCCCCAGGCGTTAGACAAGTAGCAGAAACCCACGAAGTACAGGAAAGCCCAGAACCCTGAAAATTGCAAAAGATAAATAAAAATCTTGAAAATCATTTCAAACTGTTTAACATTATTAAAATAAAAAAATTAATATTATATTAAAATGGAATACATCAACAAATTTGTATGGGCCTTTGTACAATTACTTCCTTCCATACTCGGTTCCAGTTCGCGGTATTTTTCAAAATCTATTTGTACGAGCCAAGGCTGTACATTCTGCTCTTGCAGGCTCTCATAGGCGCTGTGATTGCCTAAATCGTCAGAGTTACGCCCCGAGAGTATAACCAGATGCAGGCACTTTTAAACATTACTGTGTGATGTGCGCGTAATTGAAGTAACTAGTGACCGTATTTTGTGTGTGTAATTAGTGCATTTCTGCGCTTAATTTGAGTCTTTTTAGTGTAAACAAATTCCTCTTTGATTTATTTAAAAATAAACCCTTCAAGAGATCGACGGCGTTTTCTATCCGATCCCCTAGCTCATAACAATACTATTTAATTATTAGTATTACTTTCTTTGTTGTACGCGAGAAATATAGAGTGAAAATAACACTCCCTTTTATTTAAAGCATCCCGTTAAGCCAGGAACCGTACACTATAGTTTAATCTCGCAGCATGCTTTTACTAGTGGTGATTGCATGGTACCATTGCTTATCATTTATTTATTCCATCATTAATAACACACACACCAAGTCAAGTGAAGACTAGACTTAATGAAATAGTTTTCTAGTTCTATTTGTTATTAAAAAAACAGCGAATAAAATATATAATCTAAATCGGAACGATCCGTTTCGTTTTCTTCTGATTGGTCATTTCTCGTCCAACCGGACACGCGATGAACAGTCTTTCCGTTTGACCAACCACAACTATACGAATCGCGCCATCATTGTCCAATAGTGTATAGTTCAATTCAAGATATTAATTATCAAGGTATTCTTAAGTCTATTTAAACCGAAGACCGTGTTAAGACATGACACACGTTCCGCCATGTAGTACGTACAAATCCTGTTAGCTTGAGCGGTACTGCGGAAAATCCTTAACATATTTATTATTTATGTACCTACGCGTTTCGGCCACAATACAAATATTCTTACATTTGACAATCGTTTTAAGAGATAATTTTTTTCTCATAGAAATAAAAAATATCTTTAGTTTGTTAGTCAGGACATGTCGTGGCAAAGAATTTAGATTTGTACAGTGTCTCTTATGCGTATAAAACATGGAATAACTACACTTTTATATTATGTATATATCTAGCGTCGGGGGTCTTCAGGTTAACCTGTTACCAATAACAATAAGACGATTTCACCTTGCTTATCTCTTAATATTATTAAATGCTTTTAACCATAACTTTGGCATTGGATAAACCAATCAACAGAGGCTCTTAAAAGTACCCTATATTTTTTACGGCTAAGGTACATTAAGATAAGGAAGTATTATTTTCACAGTCAATGTTTACCGATCGTTACATTATCGCGTATTTGGCTTGAAGACCGATAAAGCCTAACTCGGTCAAGGTCAATTTGAAATGTCAGTCTGAAAATATGGGCCGTTAATACCTATGATGTTATACTTTTAAGATATATTTTCTCCCCCACTCAGAAATAAATATTTCTTTCTATTTCATGGTTTCTATTTATAGGTCTACCAAATCAAACCTACCTCCATATACATCTTGAGCATATAACAAAGGGACTGGTGTTTAATTACTACATCTGCTTTTCTCCAGTGGCATCTCGAAAAAGAAGTTGCCAACATACGAAACCAGGCTAGCGCACTTCAAGATGTTGTCACTGGAGAATCGCAGAAAATTAATTGACGTATCGTTTGCCATTACGATACTTAACAATCAGGTAGATTGCCCCCAACCTTTTAACAAAATTTAAATTTCGTGTACCCAGTAGATATCCCAGACACCCCATCATTCCATTTGTCCCTCCTTTCCGGAGAACGCGTTTTGGCCAAAATTCACCGATGTCCAGATTGAGCATTCTGTTTAAAACGAGCTGGATCTGGATATCTATCTATAGTTGCTCCCCTCACACTTTAAGAGCGATTTTCGTTTAATGTTTATTTAAATTATATTATTGTTTTGCTTAATTTATTTTTATTATTTCTTATATGCTATGTTTGCCTTGCTGCTTGACACATTAAAAATTTTATTTTATTTTTCTTTTATGAATGTATCAGTGTTGCGAGCGTTGGCAAGCTTTTATAAATAAATAAAATACTTAGAAATAAAAACAAACAAAATCCAGCCTCAAATTATAATCCATATAATGTTCAGGTATTTCTGTCAGAATTTGGAAGAATAGTTCTTCATTTGTGCTTAAATGAAATATTTTATACGCTCACTAGTTATTCATTAAATTACAATATACTTTCGATACTCAATGTTTTAAAGAAATTTTATTTGCACAATGTTATACAAATAACTTTTTAGTTATTTAACTAGGCGCCAAGACGTCCCTAACTATAATACATGATACGTTTTTGTCATATAGGAGTCATACTCGCTAATGCGCGATTGTGTCCTTACCCTAACCTTTAATTTGTTTGTACAGCTAAACCACACAAACAAAAATATTTGACCAAAATACTAAGTTTAACAAAGGAATATATAAATAAATGACTGAAGTGGAACCGTGATTGTAATAAAATATACCAAGTAACAAGTAGGTAATCAGGACCAACGAGGACAAATGCGCGATTGTCAATTTGCTTTTTATGAATGGCGTGACCTTATTTACGTTTATTACCTGCCTGTAATGATCTAAATTAGGACACATTTGAAAAGGATTCTTAATTTGAAGTTTCCAATTTGCGCAACTACCAATCTGTCTGTATCACGTTTAGGTATATGCCCTGCAACTGTTGGTCTTACCTTCTGATTTTTGTATCTGTTTGATATTCATTTGTTTTTTCAATCACGGCGTTTTCCTTTACCGTACGAGCGAGTGTTATTGCGCAGATAGAAGTGTCCATTGGTGCAAAGCCGGGGTTCGATCTTAAGATATTTATAGTTAATAAATTAATATACACAAAGGTATATTGTAACTCTCAAATCATTTATTTAAATAGGTATATTTTACAGAACAAATTGCGTTCCTTGCACTTTAGTAGTAACGTTCGCTCAGACGTATGTAAAACTCCGTATATAACCCTTAGAGCTGAGATAAAATGAATACCCTATAGAAAAAAGGACTTTTAAAATACAGCTAAAGAAACAACGCGGGACAACCGATAGGCGAGTTCATACATGCATTATGCAATACAAAATCAATGCCCATAGTATGTCAGGGCTGCCAGATGTACGATTTAAATCGTACTTGTACGATTTTTTGTCATTTTTACTCATTACGATCGCTAGACCAAGTCGTACATAAAATGTACGATTATTCTGTACCTGGCAACATTTCGTAATGAAACGAATATATACTCCACCGGCAAGTATAATGTTCGGGGATTTCCCCAACAACCTAACGTATGCTTAGACCTTTTACGTCTAAAGACCCTTTTTTTATATGAAGTCTATATTTGTGTGCATTGTAACAAAACTTATTATTTTTCTCTTGTAAATACCTGTATTGGAATAGTCAAAAACCTGTTTTTCTCATCAGTCTCTAGCTCTAAGTGATTATACTATCCTCTTTTGATCTGCATATTGTCTTTAGGGGTTTTTGTGCTATACGCTTAAGCAAGAATGGGTAGTGAACATGAAGAAACCGACCTGCGCCCGGTACTCCAAAAAAGAAATTAGCCAAAAGAGGAGAGCTTTCTACAACACAGGTCATTGAGGAACAAAAAAGCACAGAAGTAACGTCCGATCGGGAAAAATTTGATTTATTTACGGACCGGTTAGGGCCCGGTAAAAACCAATTTAAAGCCAGGTGGACTGTGTGTGACGTCGAAATAGTTTCAGAATATGGAGTTTTAAAGTAACACTCTTCAAGGCAAAGGCAGCTACTTATTTTAAATAAAAACTTTCCACTTTTTTGTTGTACGATCTTTTCGTTTCAAAATTTCCTTGGTGTACGATTTTTTAATAGTTGGTGTACGATCATGCGTTTTTTTCACCTGGCAGCCCATAGTATGTAGATGAAACTTCTGTAGACAGAGTTTCGAATTTCTTTTCTCTTGGTGACGTAGAAATACCTTTAAGTTACTTGTATAAAGGAAAGATAATCTTACGACCGCTATATTGGCTTAAAATGTATATTCTTCTGGAAAATTTTATTGTTGAAGAAAATTACAAGAAGTCCATAGTAAGTATTATATTTATTTACATATAATCTACAGTTTTAAACTATTTAATTATTAAATTTACGTTAATCTTTATTTCGCGGTGATCCACGAAAACTTTAATAATTATTTGTACTCACCAGAGAAGCCCAGATCTGCAAGAACATAATGTTTCCTAGTTTTCACTGACGACATCTGCTCAAAGAGATATTCCCCAACGATGAAACCCACGCAAGCTATAAACGCTATAACTGATATGCCGACACCATAATTGCAGGCGTTAGTATCGTCGTTGTAGACACAGTACTCCTCGTTATCAGTCTTCTTGACGTACCAGCCCTTGTCTGATATACATCCCATTACAATCACGCTGAACAGCTGGAAAAGAAAAATTGTATAACAATTCTGCTTCTATCTACTCGAACAAATGTCCAATTGCTCCATCTATCCCGTTCTAAACCGGGATCAAGATTTATGAATATTAATTTTAGTGCATTTTTTGTATAGCCCTAAGACCAAACACAATAATTTAGTTCAGTTTATTCAACTTGGATTTTATTTAAACGATTCAAAGAAGATATCAACCATCACTTAAAATTTGAGAAGTTTCTGATTTCTAAAATTATTTTAATCGATTTTTGTAACGTAGAGTAGGTTATTTTATGGAAGAGCAATTTTTGTAATACGTATACCTATTCCATGTTTCATAACACTTGTCTTTGTGAAAAATGATTGTTTACATAAGGAAAAAAATATTCATGAATTTCACCTATATTTGTTCTGCTAAATTTTTGATAAACAAAACCTATTCTGACCGAAATAAGGTAATTGAATTTTACTCAATATAGTCTGGTTTTGGGACAATAAGCCGAATATTGGCAAACAGTTTTTCGTTCGACTTTGAGAAAGGGTGGATTAGGTTTACCGAGGGTCAAAGGGCATTTCGTGACACGAGGTATATATCCGTTCTAATTTGGCGTTGAAATCACATTCAGATTTCAAATGACGCTGAAATATTGTTCACGATTAAAAAAACACGATTATTTCGGTTCGCTTCGGTTTTCTAGATTACTTTTAGCGCGAATTTATTAAATTATGAACATAACTGACTTAAACCGTATATAAAATTTATTTTAAAGGTTACGTTACATTTTTACTTTAGAAGTAGGGGAACTTGTTGCAGTTATATTAGTAATAAATATTGTATTTCCAGAACCTGTTCATTGCCAAATCTATTTTTATGCATATTCATGGACAAAAGGTTAATTATTAATTGCACTATTATTTCAATTGTCATCATACTAGCTTCACTCAATTGTATGGAAAAATAAAATGCATCTAATAATTTCTATATATAGATGCATTCTAGATACATTTCATCAAAATAAAATGCATATATGAGAAAGAATCTTAAATATTATTTTAAAGTACTTCAGTAAATTTTGCTAACAATACATAAATTTTCCAGCTCCATAAAATTTTTATACTGCAATATGTTAGCTGAAAAGAAGTCAATATTATATTAGTTCACTTAATACTTTTCCAGTAGTACATAAAAAAACAACAGTTGATAACCCCAGCCCACGGGTGCAGCTAAAACATTTTGACAAATTAAATTTTGGCTAAGGATTTCTTATAGATAATAATATCATTCCTTAAAAAATATATTTTTCTTTTATTTAAATGAACTTCAACAATAGTAAGAATAATTTTGTCACTAAAAATTAATGAAAAAGAAACAAAATATACTAAGACTAAGACCTTTCAGTATAAAGCTGGCATAGGTATATATAGATACAAAGTGCATAATATATTAGTCTTTTTCCAGAATTTGATACACTAGACTGTTTACATATTGAGATTACATTAAAAAAAAATTCTCATTGTCTCTTTATTTTCTCTTGTTAGGAGTTAAGAGAATGATTCAGTTATTGAAAAGTAATTAATGCATTAAAAACATACTAGGTACTATATATTACTAAAAAGAAAAGTATCAAATGTATTAATATTATTTCTAAAATTGATAAAAATTAAAAAGTTATTTTTAAGGAACATGGTTTAAATATTTTTCAGACAGAAAGAAATATCTAAAATAAAATTTTCAGTCAGGCCTTGGGTCAGGTTTTTTTACCCAATGTAGAATGATTAGTAAACTGCGTTGCGAATTATTTAGAAACTGGTGAAAACCTGAATAATATTAATATTTTTTTAAAGGGTTTGCAGATATAATTCCTTACACCAGTAAACTTAGGTACATATGTATGATTTACAGGTGTAGAATAAAGATATTACTTACCCAACATACCGCCCTGACGATTACTGTGGGCTTCTGAATAAATGCCTGTGGATCGAAAGCTCCACCAGCCTTACCGCCGCCATAAGCACCAGAAGTATCCATTTTTACTATTCTAAAAAAATTGTCGTCTTGCACACTCTTGTACTATGCAAGCCATATACGTCTCTGACCTCGCAAACTAAATCTTTATCTACCAATTCTTATCGATCGCGCAGCGCAGACTCGAAGGTGCAGTCAAATTCGCTGTTCGGACTTCGGGTTCGCACTTCGCAATCAGTAAAATTTGTATAGTGCTTTTCATGAAAGAAGTCCCGCGGATATTTTTGGAACTAAATTTGACAGGTCGGCAATGTTGTCATTCGTCGATGTTATCAAGTTCGTTTGTTGTGGTAGATTTTTGTGAATTTTTAACTATCTTAGTGCATTTTAAATATTGATTACAATGCCAAAAGTTGTAAAAAGTTCGGCTCGAGAATTGATATTAAAGGTGAAAGAGTTCTGTGAAGCGGAACATAAGAATCAAGGTGTTTTAATACCACTAAACAATGTTCGGAAGAGAGTTGCCGCCATAACAGGTACTTTTTAGAGTTGCCATTTAATAATTTTTTGCTGTATTGATGGGAGTTTTATGATAATATAAATTCGTTTTTACGACAAAATTGAACAAATACATAACGTGATGAAACTAGGTAACTGAAATTAAAACATATATTACATAAGCATTATAAACTTAAAGTTACTATTATTTTTAATTGTTCATAATTTAATTGCAGGTGTGTCAGAGAAAACTGTATCAAGAATTACAAACGAAGGTGTAACAGCGGCGTGTACTTCAAAAAAAATTGTAACCCCGGGGAAGAGTCGCCCGCATCCGAAAAAGTTCGACTTAGACGGGTTCGATTTGTGCGCTATCCGGCAAAAAATTTACAGTTTTTACGTCGTACATAAAGAATTACCAACATTGGTTAAATTACGGGCAGCTCTGCGAGAGGACATCAATTATCAGGGAAGCATCACAACATTGCACAGGATATTAAATAGAATTGGTTTCAAGTACAAGCGATGTCAATCCAGACGAAAACTACTTATGGAACGCCACGACATTACCGCATGGCGTGCAAGATATTTGAATAAAATACGAATAAATCGCACTGTGGAAAAACGACCAGTTGTATACTTAGATGAGACCTATATACACAATACTTATCATACAAAACGTTGTTGGCAGAGTGAGGAGGAGCCAGGAATGTTCGTCTCAGAGTCATCAGGAGTCGCTGGATAATCGCTCATGCGGGAACAAAAGATGGATTCATAAATGGTGCATTATTAATGTTCAAATCCCAATCAAAGTCCTCAGATTACCACGATGACATGAACTCAGCAAATTTCTTAAAATGGGTGACGGAAAAACTAATACCTAATCTACCTGAAAGGTCGCTTGTGGTAATGGATAACGCTCCTTACCATTGCACTCAATTAAACAAAGCCCCTTCTATGTCAAATATAAAAAGGAGTATGCAAGAGTGGCTCCGGCAAAAGGGTATATATTTTGAAGACACCTGGACAAAAGTTGTGCTGTATGAGCTAATCAAACAAAATAAAGGTCCACCGATATTTGCAGTGGATGAATTATTAACAGCTCACGGACACGAAGTATTAAGGTTGCCGCCTTACCATTGTGACCTCAACCCGATTGAGAATATCTGGAGCCTTGTAAAAAGAAAGGTGGCGGATAAGAACGTGGCACAAGATCCAAAAGAAATATTAAAATTAACTAAAGAGGCCTTTGAGTCTATTACGGCTGAAGATTGGACAGCTCAGTGCTCGCATGTCGAACATTTAGAGGAGGAATATTTAAAAAATGACGGCCTTATGGATGAAGTGATGGACCGAATAATTATATCAACTGCTAGTGATACTGAAACAGAATCTGATTCTGTTTCAATACACTCTTCGGACAGTGATGTCCCTATGGCCGTTGATCACAATTATGCAATAAATCTCTGAATAAACTATTGTATTGCTTTTCTTTACCCTATTTTCTTATCTTTTCCCTGTAAGTAGGTAGAACACCGCAATATAAGTAAATAAAAATATACTTTTTACATAACAGATATATTGTTTCATCGAAGTACGCAGAAAATAGTATTATTTGATAAATTACATCTGCTAAATGTAAATAAAATAGGTAAATTTTTTACTCATAAATGGCAACATTACGTCATGCGATTGCAGCGCCGCGTCTGGGGGACTTCTTTCGTGAAAAGGACTATACTCTTTGGTTTGACATATCTCTGTCCTCTGACATTTATCTGGGGTTACCTGAATGCAAAATTATTATTTTCCAATTTTATGTGCAGACTTTTAAAAGACGAAAATTCAGGTCATACAGGAAACCTTGGCCAAGTAGAACACACGTTGAAAACTTGTTTAAACGCTATAAAAAACAAGATTTTTCGACGTTCAACTGAATGGAAGTTGGTACACACAAACAGCGTCCTCTACTGAAAAATTTTCTAGTCCTTTTTTTCCCCATTAAAGGTACCCGACAAAAATGGAGGAGAAAACGCAAAGCTATAGGTCTACCAGGATCTGATGGCAAAAAGGGAAAAAAGAAATTGACGCTAGCAATACTGGGGAAATTGGAGTAAAACGTTTTGATACTTTTTTTTCCTTATAGCGGCTGATTCTGTGTGTGATATATGCAAAATATATAAAAATTTATCCAATGATAATTTTTGAAAATGTGGCGAATGTGGGGTTTGAAATTTAGATGAAAACTCCAATTACTCTGTTCATGAGTTTATTAATTAATTAAGAACTTTAAAATGGTTCCAAATACTGCACATCCATAAAAAAGTCTTCAACGCAGTATTTATAATAAACCTTTCCTCCTGCATCTCAATTAACCGATCTTGTTCTATGAACTTATTTTAAATTTTTATTACATGTTCACAAGATTTTCGCTATTCATCGATCCCTATTTGAGAGAAAGAAACAATGTAAAACTCATTTATCTTGTTTCTGATCAATTCTAAATCAAAACTATCCAAGTTTATTTGTGGTATAAGAAACCCCTGAAATAAACCAAAATTTAGTATAAGTACATAATATAATACACACGAAGAATCCCATAAACCAAAGTATCAAGACGTGTCATTCCTACTAACCAGTCAACGCTTGCACATGGCTCAATATCGATGATTGTGTATGTTCTGCATCTTGTTGATCAAGTATTCTTTGATAAACATTGAAAACAATATGTCTTGCTTGCGATCGAAGAGGTTTCTTCGACATTTTCATCACTTTTTAAAGGAAATTTGAAGCCAAACCAAAAACAATTCCTCGAAATTTCAGTTGACAGATGAAATTTTTCTTTTATTGCCATATGAAAATCGCTAATTTAAAAAAAAAAAAATTGCCATCAGATTCTGGTAGACCTATAGTTGCAGATGTCGCTATCATCGCTTGCTCCATAACAATACGCTGTCAGTTTTCAGCAATTTTTACGTAAATCTTAGGTACGATTTTTAAAAGGTGTTTAACCTTTTAAGATTTACTAAATATGTACTGCTGAATAATGTATTCGACATGGACTTCTCCATAATTAAAAGTAGAATTGAAGACCCGGGGCGGTTCTTTAAAAGGAAGAAAGGCAGATCTTGTCACGAAGTAATCACATTGGATAGTAGTAGTTTGATAATATGATATTATATTATATTATTAGTATGATATTCTTCCTAAACTTGTCCAAACTACAAGTCTCTTACTAAATTGAGAATGCTCATAACTTACGGTCACCTGTTTCATATTACATTATTATAAAAAGACTATGAATTTTGAAATGACTTTATGAAACATGAATTCTTGATTTTATTCTATACTCTTGTTAGAAAAGTTATACATATTCATAAATACAATTGCACGAAAGTTTAAATGAATTATTTTTATTAAATTAAATTAATGCACTGTTGGCCTAGTAGCTAGAGTGTACGTTTCTCAAACTTAAGATCGTGCGTTCAAATCGTGGCTGTACACCATTGGATTTTTCTTTTTATGAGTGCATTTGATATGATTGCCGTATGGTGAAGGAAAACATAGTAAGGTAACCAAAAAATCGACCACTTATATCTGCGTATATAAAGGCTGATCACTTACTTGCCTATTAAGAAAAATAAATGATAGCTAAACTCATAAATAAATCTGGCCTAACCAAACCTAATACGATAACACCGTCCCATCTAGGTTTAATACACCTAGTAGGATATTTCTCAATAAAAATCTAAAATACCTACACATTATTTTAGTACTAACTATGATCGCAATTTATTATTGGAACTGCAGTTATACATTTGAATTAGCATGAATTCCAGTTTGAGCCCCCACTAAATTATTTTACGAATAGAAAAGAAACTCAAATTCATAGGTATTACAAATATTTATTAAAATAAGAATTCATTAATAATAAAAGAAACAGCTGTTTTCGGTATAATAAAAAAGATAAATCAAGTTATATATTACATAATATATAGCCATCACCTGTAAATTAATTTTGACTAGTTCAAAAAACGAAAAGCCATTATGTTACAAAATTGCCATAATATTTAGCACCTTCCTATTGAGGTGACGGCTTACTTGAGAATACATGTACAAAATGTCTAAATATTTTAGGTATCAAAGGATGTAGAAACACTGATTCTATTATTTACATTATAAAGCTAATAAAAATATGATGCGCTACATTTCATTGCTAAAAGTTATGGCAATAAGACATTGAAGCAAATAAATTATATTTTTTTCATAACTTTTATGTTGTCTGTGACCTTATTGCTTCATTGTGTAATTACCATAGATAATAATTATCTTTCCGGTGTGTCTATGCATATAAAATTACAATTGGTTATTTCTTTAGCTTAATTCTTAACTTTAGCGGTTATATACTATTTATTCAATGTTTAAAGTGAATGTTATAAAGAATAGTCACGGGTTTATAACTTTATTGGGTATATAGTTATGGCCACTTAATATCACGTTTCATACCATAGAGATCATTTAGATTGTCTGTTTTGCATGTAAAAAATATGAAAGTATGTTTATTAAGCAAAAGTATGGTGCATTTTTGTATGTATTGTACAGAGTAGATTTATTGGAATCGGAAAGATATTACTAATAAATTATATTATGAATGTAACATATGTCTATGATATCTAAACTATAAGGATCATTATACATTCACTGTAGAAACACTACTTTTCACACTATATCTAAAGCTACCATTTTGTATAAATTCTAACTAATCACCTACGTAATATTAATTCTACAATTTTATTGTACATGGAAAACTAACTACTGGATATTATATTTATCTATGACATACTTTAAGTAAAATTATTTACAAAAATAGCCATTTCTGCTTCATCCAGATAACGCAATTAAAACGGATATTGCTTAAGTAAGGAACTACATACATAATTGTATAAATTAAATTTAAAGCCGTATTGGATAAATTTGATAGCTTAGTATTTAAAAGTATTTTGATTACTAAAACAATATAGGGCTGATCATGGGCTTCAGACGTCACTTTTGACATTCTTGCCACTACCGCTAGACAAATTTATATGGGAATAACATTAGGTCACGCTTTGTCACGTGACCGTTTCCATACAAATTCGTTAGTAGGTCGCGACTGTCGTGTGTTGCTAATAGTAGACTAGCTTACTAGTTACTACTGAGTAAACAGTTTTCACAGAGTATAAAATTTATCCAATATGACATTTAAGGTGCATGTTAAGAAATTGCATTAACAAAGATTATATCTACACTTCACATTTTTAAGTCCTTGAAAGTTTTGATATGGTTACAATAATAAAATATTGCATGTCAACAGTTCAAGTCAAGTATTTCATAACATTTCTCCTTTGCTTATGAATGAAAGGCATAATTGCGAACAACGCAGTATTGTCCATATAAACAATGCTAACGATTTTAACACAAAGACCCGTTATTAGACAGTTCATTTTATATTATCCATTTATAATTTGAAGTAGGTTTTAACAGTTAATCCAATAATGTATTATTTAAACTGGGCCAAAACAATTTTCACATTACCTACAAACAATAAGTACCAATAGTATCTTTGGAATTTGTTCTACATTATTCGAGATACTTGGCCAAATCTTAGGAATCAGTTAGGCCTTGTCGTTTCTCCTCTTCCAGCATGGCGTCAAGTTCGTCTGTAAGGTTTGCCAACATGTTCCCTATATCGTTGAGGACATCAACGGGTTCTGTACTCTTCTCTTCTTTTTCTATGTGTTGTTTATCTGTAGGTCTAGGAGGGAGCGTCGCCAAGCCCATACCCGTTCTACCATAGTCCACAGTATGAGGTCTGCCAGCCATTTGACTTCGGTTTTGCTTAATCGTACCTGCGTTGTCATTGGCAAATGGAATGCTGTCCGATTCAGTACTCGAACTTGACTGTAAAGAATAAATATTATTGCGATAAAACATTGGATTATGTAAAACAGTTATTTTTCTTGTTTAAAAAACATCGTCATAGAACTTGTGAAAAACTTTTTATTGCTTGTTTGCTTCATTATTATGCTTTACACAAAAGTTCAGGGATCAGAAATCCCATCATATCGATTATGTTTTTGGGTAGATTGAACAGGTTGTGATTGGGTTGCTGTATGCGGCTTTCTTACTAGCTAACAGTATAATCTACAAGCTCAGCGCTAGATCAAGGAAGCAATAATTGAAGACTAAGTAAAATTAAAGCATTGAACATTACGTTCAAATAACTCTCTACTTGGTCAAATAAGGGAAAAAGATAAACAAAACATCTTTACCTTAAAACTAGCATCGGAACCCGTTCTCATTTTGTCCTCTTCGTATCTCCGGGGTGGGGAAGAAGGGGCAGGTGGGGGCGGAAGTAGTCCTGTACTGTCCAACGAAACACTGAGCGAGTCTGAACTAGGATAAGCTGGCAAACTCAAGGGCAAGCTCTTCTCCGGATGAATTTCCACAGTGGTTTGCCCGAAGCGAGTAAAAGGCGCATACTGTGAGCTCTGACGCTTCGGTGGCTCCGGCGGAGGCTTTCTAGCCACGTGCGGACTCGCTCCATAAGCGACGCGCTGCAGTCGTGCCGAGTAAGCGATCTCATCATATGTGTAGTCAGGAGATTTATCTCTATACGCCGGAGTCGCTTGGATCTTAGCGACTGGACGAGGTCTCACCAACCCCCTAGGTCGGGGCAAAGTACCTCCCCCTTCATAACTATCATTTGTTGGTGTTATATCTCCATCGTCGTACGAACGCCGCCATTGGCCTCCATAATAAAACCCGGCTTCAGGGGAGAAGGTAGTGTGCGATGTTCTTTCTGATGGGTCTTCTAAACTCTCCAAAGACTTCCCGCGGGGATGGCGTATCTGTTATAAAGAGAATTATAAGAAAGTGTTCGAATAAAAATTGGATAATGTAGAATCCTCAAAATTACGGCAAACGGTAGCGTTACCAAGGTTACATCATGCTATCTCGCTCAAAATAATTACATATTATACTTTTATTAGATACACAATATATTAGAAATTGTATCGCATCATGCTGACCTGTTAAAATGTTAAGAGTAAGGATAAATAATAAATACGACACTACCGTGCAGGCTTAACCTAGATCACACGAAAATTGACAAGTGCACATAAAGCTAGGTGCCGGGGTGCGTCATTGGGTGCCAAAGGAAGTCTCATACCTGGATGGGGACCAAGTCAGTGGCACATAGGGACGTTTGTAGAGCGTCAAAGTTTAGATCGGGGGGTTTATGGTAACTTCTTGCGTGTCTCTCCCAATGCTGGTATTGCTCCCTCGGATATAAATCCTTTAGGTCCAATGTGCGGTTTGTGTTTGGAAAAGAAAATAAACAAAACATTCACATGCTGCTTTGGGCTAGTGGTATGGTGGATGCAGCGATGGGTGATACAGCCCTGCGATTTATTTAATACTTAATGAAATACAGACGGAGTAATTTTTTGTGATGTTTACCAGAATCTAAATGTTTTAGTCTGAAGTAGGATAGGTGTGTCTCAGACATTTTATTTTTTCGTATTTTTTGGAATATGATCGCAGGGCTGCAGAAATAGCGACGATGGCGATGGAAATATAGACATCTAAGGTCTCAGCAAAACGAAATTAATGTTTCAACGTAAGGGGAAAACCAAAACTGTTATATGGCAACACAAGCCACTATTGTGCTTGTATCCTAATATCCGTAGATTGACGTCACTTTTACCATAGAGACATCTATTAAGCTAATCCTGCACATTTTAAATTAGCTAAATATATTTTAGTTTAAAATTAGTCGAAAGCTACTAAACACTTGTTTAGGCAATGTTAATAGAAAGTTAAAATTAAAAATATTAAATAATTGTTAATTAAGATATAGCATGATTATGAGAATGGTGTGTGAGTGAACTTAAAATAAAATCTTAAACTATAAATAGACTAATCTATTTAGGTTTGAAAAAATATAGACTGAAAATAATTATCTATGGCTAGACCTAGGACATGACTACAACATTAATTTGGCAACACTAATAGTTATAGTACTGACCTGTCCAGGCTGAAGCCTTGTGAAATCCAGGGACCCTTGGTTACTTATGCTCCGTTTTCCGGCTCTAATGTCTTTCACTCTCTTGATCGCTAAAAGTATTTTCTTTTGATGGCCGAGTCTTACTATGCCCATATCTTCTAAGTCCTGTAATAAAAAAATATAGTTTTTTAAAGAAGTTACTGTTTTGTGGGATGTATTTTAAGCGAAATATTTGTCTAACTCTAAACAACTAATCATTCAATTATATAAAATATTTTTTTGCTTTTCAGTTCAGCCCAAAATTTGTAGTTAAGATCATCCAATTTATTGTTATTATTGCAATAAAATTATAGTATTTAAGACTAGAATTTTTATAGATTTTAAAAAGACACAAAGTTTGCCTGTAAAATACAGAATAGCGCCTTTTCATCAGAAGATCGTTTTCATAAAACTGTTGTCTATGGGTAGTAGAACTAACCTCCCAAGCGAGCTGTGTGACGTCATGCACGGTGCGATATCCTTGCGCTACGAGAGCTGGGCCGTATTCTTCAAGTCGAAGAAGCCGAAGCCATTCTTCTAAAGAACCCTGGAATTTTTTAATGATTTGAAGTCATTTTTAGATTGCATATAAATAACGATTCCAATAGGTATAGAACAAGTATCCAAATGTATATAAATAGAAGTCCCGCAACGCCACCATTTCTATATCTATTTTATATTATTTTTAAGGCAAGTAGGTGATCGGCTTTCAAAACAAACCACTTAGTCTGTCGTCCACAATGAAACGCAAGATATAGCTACCATACAAAGACACGGTTGAACGAAGGATAATTTTTGCCATAAAAGTGAAATAATTAAAAAAAATCTATCTTAATATTTCCTTAGCATAACTATGAAATTTATTGATTTTGTTTCTGCTTTGTGTTTCTTTAGATGAAAAATAAACGACGGTTCTCTGACAATTCGACTAATAGGTGATGTTGTAATATACTTTAACTGGCATTCTCAAACGAATACCATATACATTGATATACTTACAGGTATATAATCGGGCAAATTCTCAGGTACGTTAAGATTTGCCAGTTCAGCCTTTAAGCGTTTGCGGTGGTTCGGTTTCTTGATGCCCACAGCCGTCAGGTCTTCTGGAGTCATTCTTGTGACTGTCGGCAAGTCATACCCGGCCTCTATGAAGAGACGAGCATACTCCTCCATTTGTAAATCGGCTAGCCATGCATGAATAATGTCTGCATCCTGAAAGAGTGAATGAAGTCATTTAGTATGTTACTATTGTAGGGTCTTATTACATCCGAAGTCCTTCGTCTTTGAGCTCATTATCTTGCTTAAAATCCTAGACTATTTACTTTGCATTACAATTATTTAAAGTTTTGCAAAAATTGGTAATGAATGAATGAGTCAAACACATTTTTCCTTCTTTCATTAAATATTTTTCGTAGGTGAATAGGTACCAACCAAACAGAAACCACTAATGTTTAATTGGGAATCGAACCAGGGTCTCATCATGAGCGCCACTAAGCTTCCGAGACGCCACGGAAATTCGGTAACGTCTATTGGCAAACAAGTCTTTAATTGAAAAAAATATTTGTTTAATATTGTCTTTGATTAACATAACCTTTACACATTTAAAGAAAAAACTTTTTAACCGGATTAAAGTTATGTATTATTATAAATTTACAATTATTTAGCATAATTTTAAATTTATCCGACGTTTCGCGTTCTTTACAGCGTGCGTGGTCAGTGACCACTAATTTAAAATAAATCCAATTTAAAATTATGCTAAATAATTGTAAATTTATAATAATACCTACATAACTTTAATCCGGTTAAAAAGTTTTTTTCTTTATTTGTTTAAATTTACTAGACCTCAGACAACCACAAACAAATTAGAGTTATGATGTCTTTATTTTTCTAAACCTTGCCAAATAGGCTCCTTTATCTTCGCATGCGTATAATAAGAATAATTATTTTAATAAAAATAAAGCGAATATTATCAACATACTGGAAGTCCCTGTGCGATCATAGATCGAACTCTATCAACGGTGTCTCCGCAATGGCATGAAGCATGGTGATGATGCGGCATTCTTCCCGACGCTCTGCCACTATCCAGCGACGCTGATGAGTGACGGGAACCGGAGCCAGCCGACCCTGATGAGGAGCCAGGACTATCCCTACCGGGACTCTGAAATAATCGGAAGTTATGATTAAGTTTTCCATAATTTATTCCTTCCAAAAAGTAAGGTTAAAAAGGTCCTTTTTTATATAACACTAAGCTTTTGCAAACCCTACCACGAATTTAGAAAAAAAATCAAATTTACCTGTGTCATATCGATGCCCTGATCATCACTTAAGGCCAGCTGGTGATGGTAATATACGGCCGCTTTATGCGTGAGCGGTTGCGACGGTGGTGGAAATGTGAAAGTGCCTCCACCAGCTGGACTTTTCCCGAGACTCCCACTCGCTCCAGACACGCCTGACACTCCGGACACCGTGCTGCCATAGTCAGAATGGTCATCTGAAACATTAACAATAGTTGCTCAGGAAAATGGTTTGTATAGAAGTGTTACATCATTATGTAGCGACGTACGACGGTATTTCTGAACTGGTACAACTAAGAAGCCTTGAGCGTTTGTTAATTAAAATAAAAGTGAAAAAAAAACGTTTGTTATTTTTAAGTGTATGAATTCAACTTGATCTTTAAGGTCTTACCTCGAGTATGTGAAGGTGTATCAGGTGGCTGCGGGTAGGCCTGCTCCTCACAGGACGCGTACCCTTGGGATCCGAAACTGGAACCCGAGTGTCGGTGTTGTGGGGTGCCAAACGCGTCCCCTGGCACCGCGGGGGGAGGGACGCGTTTCGCGGTCGTCGCCTTGCCGGCGCCGCCGCCCCCGCGTGACATTCCGCCCACTGGAATAAAAAGATGTACTTTAGTACTGAATGTCAGTTTACAAATACTACATACGAATTTCCGTTGTACTGAACCGTTAGAGTCATTGTGGCAACAAGTTACTTTTCAAACCTTAAGCTTATTTTTCATAATAAGTAACAGAAATTCTAATGTACATATAATGGATTATTTTCTATATGGTAGGTAATGCATATAAAACTTATTAAGGTGTGAATCTGGTGTCATTTATACTAAAATACCATTTTTTTAAAACTCTCCGACATTGCATACGATAGGTACAAAACTTTTAATATTGAATTACATTTCATATTTTTTTCAAGCACATTATTACGAAGATATACCCAAAATGGCTTCCCTGTTATCTTTGTACACCCCAAGGATTTTCTTCGCGTATATTTTAACAAAGCTAATAAGGCCGCTTAACGTCAAAAGCATCAAACGTGGTTATCAGCGGGGCGTCGACCGCATTAGCGAAATGAGTTACATCCCTCAACCCACTGATAAACGAAAAAGGCGGGAAAGATTTAGTAATAAAACACCATCAATCATGATCGAGCCGAGATCCGATGACCGCGTCCGATCGCTAACTAATTGCCCCAACAAACCGACCCAGCAAAATCACCATTAAATTTATCTTGATTGGAACAAAGTTACAACACAATATTGCAACTTTTGAATCGTTAAAACTATAAAAATAGGCGTTTATTTGCTCATGAATACTTCGTTATCGATAATTATAATATCATTCATGTAAGCCTATAAAAAATAATGAACATTAACGGTTATGTGCATTTGCAAATTTATTCTTTATATCTCTGCGAACGCACGCATTTATGGGCATAAAAAATATTTTCAATTGCCTTCACGTATCTCGTTGGTCATTAGCAAATAAAAATTGTTTCAAAGTATTATAGTCAGCGGATGTCGAGATAATTTTCGTTTACTGCAATCCCGCTATTAGTAATCAACGGCTTAAGTAAACTCGTGTCATCATAAACAGCAATTATCATGATTACATTCTATTTTTTTGTACGCTCTAAATCCATTCAAATTCGTTATGAGAGGAAATGTAGGTGACAGATTCATGTTTCAATATTTTCCGTACTACATTGCTCTTTGTACTTTTATTTGCTTAGCATAAGTCGCAAATGTTTTCATTTTGATTTCGTTGACCTTTTGTTTTTACGTTCAGGGCCTATTTCGAGCTTGATTACTGGAGTTTATTCGATCTCGCCACGTTTGATGGATTCCTTCTGAGTTTTGACATTACCTTCGCACGCTTTACGAGGTTGAAAGCAGCTATAAAACTGTTTTAGGAGATTACTTGCTATAATGACATTAATTTGTTACTTATCCAATATACTTTCACCCAGTTAAAGTTGATTTATGCCTTTTTCATGTTAACCAGCCGGATTTTAGTACTCAATTTGTTTTGTGTGTAAACTTTTGATTGCTCCGTTCTGTAAACGATACTTTTACATCAATAGTTTGTTATATTATCTGCTAATAGATGTGGCTAAGAGGAAATGCTTCAAACGCATATTCCGTTAAAAGTGTATATTTTATATGATAGTTATAAAGACGTTACCGATCCTGATATTTTTGTATGCAATTTTGAATTAGTTCTCTCAATAGCTGTAGCACTGATATCGTTAGCTTGGGATTGCGCTGTACGAAACCTTAACATTAAAGTCTGGATCGCAGGTGGGTGCTACAGAGTACAGGCGCTGAGTAATATAATGATCCTGGTAAAAGCCACAGTTAGCTTTGAATGCGAATCCTAAAAGACATCCAATGATCATTGGACAGACAAGTATTGTCGCTGATTTTTCACTGATCTTGCACTTCCTGCAAAAGCTACATTACACCTTCAAATATATTTTATCGCAATACGATTAATCTAATTAGCATTGTTTTAACGCAATTTAGATGCAGTCAACTGAATCAATTAGGAGCACTTCCAAGCCGCGTAGGATCGATTCTAACCACATTCTTCATAGTCCGACTTTATTAAAATACAATTATGCGGCGCCAACATTATTGCGTTGTTATTTTTAGCGCTTACTTAATTTGCAAACTCGATTTATTATCGTGGAAGATCATTTATCTTTATAATTCTGTCAGGCAATCGTAAAATTGTCTTTATTATCATTATCTATTAACACATTTCTGAATCTATCTCCGTGATCATTTTAGAAGTGATAGTAGTAGACCGCGGCCCCTTTATATGGCAGCGGATATTATTAAAAACATTAAAAACACCAAATACGTGACCAATTCAAAATTGTTCGTTCGAAAGCTTTGTACGTGTCCGCATTGTGATTTAAGTAAATGTCTGCGTCGTATGTATTATGCTGATTGGTAATACATAATATATGAAGGCAAATCCCTTGGATTACATAAAGCCACACAAGCTCCTGAATTGATTGATCGAACCGTCCAGATTTAAGAAATGAGGGTCGATGAAAGAGAAAATATTTTCCGAGAAATACTCTGATCGACCCAAATTTTGTTTCCTAGTACTCAAATTCAACCAAGATTATTTATGATGAGCCTGTGTATTAATAATTTTGTCCATTAATATGAGAAACCAGTACTTGGACAATGAGAGTGTTGTACATAGTTAGCATTTATTTACGTACATAATTGGTTATTCCTTCTTCTCGATTTGTAACATTTACGACTCATATATTAGGAAACAGCCTGCGCGAATCATATCATCCAGGCTAAAGAATTATTGTCGAACGATATGTACTAAGGCTGTTCAATTAAAAATGATAATGAGCATGACGCAATTATCTTTTATTCAATATTAATTTTCGTCGTTGAACGACGTTTCGACGAATGGTAATTCATTGTATTTTGTAAAGCCTAAATTCCTTTTTTAAATAATTATATTCACTTTTAAGAACACGTTTTGCAAGTGTATTATTCAATTTAAAAAAAAAAACAAAAGAGATGATTGTTTTTTATTATTATTATCTAATGTCTGGGCTATGCCTGCCAGTATTTAGTTTTTTCTCACCAAGGAGAATGTATAAAATTATCACTATTTATTGAATACCCATAGTAAAAAAGTATCTATGTTTACTAACTCTGTTCCCCTTAATAATTTATAAAAAGAAGCTAAATCTGAATAAAAGGAGTTAAACACAACTTTAAGCACTAAGCACTTTAATTGACGCAACAACCGATACTTTATTGCGTTATTACAATCGATTTGCAGTGAATGTAAATAATATCGATTATTCAGATATAACTACAATATCGGTTAATATGACAAATTGTTATACCGAGACGGTTAATAACTAGTTCAGATAAAACAGTATAGTTTATTACTTAACATAGCATGCAGAAATATGTTTATTGGCATCGATAAAATAAAATAAACATCCCGCCCTGTGGGAATTAGATATTTCAAAATGAAAATCTAGTGTAGATTTATGCTAATTTGTGTAATACATTATAGATAAGGTCTTGTTTATGCCTTGACCACGACGTTCCCATTTGGAATAATGGTATTGTGTAAAAGATCGCTCTCGTTCAATGTGACAAATACGAAAACTAATTGGTGTAAAATCTAAAGTTCTTTTCGTGCAAGGCATATCAGTCTTATTTTTTGAAGTTATACTTCTTTAGGCGCTTTGTGAAAAATTGATGAGAGTGAAATTTTACGATGCGCGCGCACCTGAGACACAAAGTTGTCAGTGTGATTATAGCGTGCGCGAGCGAGATGGGAATAAGACAATCTACAAGTAAAAAGAAATAGAATATGCGTGAAGTTAGCAGCTATGCCAAGAATTTTGAATGACCATAATGACATTTACCTTTTAAACAATTAAAGGAGTTTTAATTATTTTTTCAAAGAAATTTAGCAATGCTTTTTCACAAAGACCTATTGTTACTTAGTTAAAAGGTTATGAAACATACCTAGTTATTAAATTGAAGGAATAATATAATAAAATAATAAATAATAATTATTATTAATATTAATTAATAATTGAATATTATACTAAATATTGAATATTATTAAATTATTAACGTTAAATATTTATTATTAGTTATTTAATATTTAAAAAAAATAAAGAAAGCCAGAGAAGTATAACTTCTTACGCGCGTACATAAGTAGGTACACGCACCCTTTTTTGATTAGCATGACAACAATAAAGACTGCTAATGTTCTAAATATGTATTATATTGTAGTCTATTTTTATCTCATGTGGAATTGTATTCTTAATGAGAAATAAATATTAAACCAATGACAAAATAGAAGAATGAAGATGTGTCAATTTTGACAGGGTATAATATTACTACAGAATTTATCATTATATATATGCAGTCTTTGTATTTCTTTGTTCATAAAAGTTGAATGTAAATTACGGTAAAATTACTTAATCAATATATTTTAAAAATAAGATCATCTATTGTATGATGTAAAACACATACAAGGTTTACCGTAAAATAGTAAACCCTTTGTCATCGCACATTAGACACTAGAAATGAGAATTTCCTTTTAAAATCTATGTCAATGGGGAACTTAATAGGCATACACAATTGTTTTATATATTTCCTAGACAAACAAAGCAACGTGAAAGCTTAAACTTCGCTGAAATACTCAAATGGGAAATGACATTTTCTACGAAGGCTGTATTAAGTGTTTCTCGGTAGAACGTTTGCAGGTGTCGATTCATACGGTGTATTCGGTATTTAGGTGCATATTAGGAATGGTGTTATGACTTTCGTTAAGGTCAGGTCAAATACCGATGCTCGTGTTTTTTTCGCATTTTTGACAGCTTTTTACCAGCTGGTGAAATGTAGAGGTATTTTTTAACCGATACTTGGGGCTTAAGAGCGTACTGATTTGCAAAAGTCGGTAACACACCTGTAAGGCTTCCGGCGTTGCAGGTGTCTAAGGGCGGATGTCAGAGCTTGTTCGTTCACGAATTAACTTTGATATATTGATAATGTTATAACGCATATAACCTAAACATCTTCCAACTGATTGAGTTAGTTTACTTTAACTAAATGCGTGCCTACTCAAAATAAAATCTTATTTCGTAACTTCTACGACAAATTTCCTTTCACATACACAGCCGTTATTTGAAGATAAACAATTCGTAACAATTACGAGTCGTTATTAAGATATGTATTAAGGTTTAAACTAAAAGGTACATGTAAACGAGAGTACATCGAGCTGATAACAAATGAAATTTGTATAGAGCCAAAGTAAATACCCATTATGATCGCGTAATTTTATCTTATTAAGTTATTAAATTAATTTCACTGAACTGGCTCATAAGTACTCATACTTAACGAGCTATAACGATTAAGTTATTATATTTATTCGACATGACAAAATATTTAAATATGTAATTATTTTGTATGTTTCTTGCGCCCGCAGCTACGCCCGCGTGGGTCGTGGATTTTCAAAAGATTCTGGCGATTTCTTCAAGAAATACACATAATAAAATATATATTGAAACCTTCTTCAGGAATTGCACTATATATTGGTGTAAACCCTTCCAAAATCTGTTCATTTTTTTTTTAGTTTATCGTGTTTAAATACATAGACGCGGTCTTCATTTTGTAATATGTAAGGATAGTAACTGTTACTTATCGTTTTAAGGT